GAAACTTTGTAGAAACCAGGAAATAAAAATAGCATGCCCAGCTGAAACTCCAGGAAAGCTGTGCGTAGGTAGGGTTGTTATATGCATAGGCAGAGGAGGTATTCTGTGGAATTGACTTACTGAGGGGTTGATCTCAACAGAAACCTGAGAGGGGGTAAGGGAAGCAAAGTGTAACATGGAAAAAGAAGTGGGTTTAGAAGTTTGACTTCAACCTGGTCGGATGGGGCTTGTGGAACATGAGATTGATTTACCTGTCATGAGGCAAAGGAGACGGGTTTTTGCAACCTTTGCTCGTGTGCCACACCCCAGGAAGGTGGGAGGATGACTGGTAGAAGCGGCCCAGAAAACTGGGTTATGGGGCTGCTGTAGGCTCAAATTAAGTGCAGAGAGATGAGAGGATAGGAACATGGGGTGGCAGAGCAGACCTGGCTGGAGCAGAAACAGCATCTGCTGCACATACTCAGATCATCTTTATATAGAAAGAAGGCAGCACTTCTCATTCGTCAAGAGCTCACTTTTTATCAAGTGCTGTGCTATATGGCTTACATGCATGACCTTGGACCCTTCTGTCTCTGTCCTGGAATATCTTTAATCCATTTTCAGCCAAGGTATAACATGAAACAAATCCATTCATGAACTCAGGGAAACAATGTCCACGTGCATTTTCCTGAATTCAACTAAGACCTGGTTAGTTTTATGTTCTAATAGGAAAGAAAACAAACATTTCCTATTAATCTATAATGTGCTTTCATATCATCTGTTGTGTGACAAACTGGAATTCAGATATGTTGAAATGTAGCAATTAAAGTGGTTACTGTAAAATAATGTAGTGCCTACAGTTATTTCAATAATTTATATGTACTTTTCAAAAATTATTTATTTGAAAGACAGAGGTACAGAAAGTCAGAGGCAGAGAGAGAGAGAGAGAGAGAGAGAGAGAGAAAGTCTTCTATGTGCTGGTTTGCTCCCCAAATGGTCACAACAGCCGGAGCTGAGAAGATCCAAAGCCAGGAGCCAGGAGCTTCTTCTGGGTCTCCCATGTGGGTGCAGGGGCCCAAGCACTTGGGCCATCTTCTACTGCTTTCCCAGGCCATAGCAGAGAGCTGGATCAGAAGTGGAGCATCCGGGACTCGAACCGGCGTCCACATGGGATGCCAGCACTGCAGGCAGCAGCTTTACCTGCTACACCCCAGCACCAGCCTCTAAGTCAATCACAGTTAAAGACATTTAATAGAATCTTCATATGCTTTTTGAAACTTTCGTTAAGTCCAAGACAGTTATGTGACATCCTCACACAATTATGTGTTGAATAAGGGAAGAGATTTTTTTATGTTTGTCAAAAGATTATTGATAACTGTTCTTCTGATTTGCGTAGAATGGTTTGTATGATATTGGAAATAGTGTATGTGGATATTTCAAAAGGTCCATGGGAAATGTCCATTATGGAAAAACTGTGCATGAGTTTCAAAATATTTTGCAACAAAACAAATGTGTCTTTTATTTCATTTTCCCGCCAACTTTTTGAAGTACCCTCTTGTTCTTGTTCGTATATATTTAAACTCCTAAGCATAAAGCCTAAAACTAGAAAGCCCATTGCTAGGTTAAAAGTATCTTTAAATGAATGGGGCCAATCCTGTGTAATGTTGTATGTTCCATCTTCAACTTCCACTCTTTGCTTCCCTGGCACCTGTCACATTTCAAGAGGTCAAAAGCCAAGGACAGCAGCATAACTACAATGAATATGAGATTTTAGGACCATTCTATTACAGATTAGTGTTTTTCTTTTTCTTTTTCTTTTAAAGAGTTATTTATTTATTTGAAAGTCAGAGATACACAGAGAGAGGAGAGGCAGAGAAAGAGAGGTCTTCTATCCGATGGTTCACTCCCCAGATGGCCACAACGGCCAGAGCTGCGCCAATCCGAAGCCAGGAGCCAGGACCTTCTTCCAGGTCTCCTTGGGTCCAGGAGCCCAAGGACTTGGGACATCTTGTACTGCTTTCCCAGGCCATAGCAGAGAGCTGGATCAGAAGAAGAGCAGCCAGGACTAGAACTGGCGCCTATATGGGATGCCAGCACTTCAGGCCAGGGTGTTAACCCACTGCGCCACAGCGCTGGCCCCAGATTAGTGTTTTTCTAATTCTTCAATCTTTGTGTGAATATTATAGTATTAATTATATTAGTGTGGACAATCTAAATCTGAATGGTGCAGCAATTCAAAATGAACATTCTTTGGGTAACAGCAAAATGAATTGAAACAGCCATATTCATTATGCTTTAGTTCATTTAGTTAATTGAAATATGAGATATTTCTTTATTTTATGTTAAAAAGTGCTTACTGCCTTACCCAGCTAGCTGTTATTACCAAAATTAAAAACTGTGTAAAAAATACAAAGCTACCCATAGAAGCTAGCATAAAAATTACTGTCCCTGCAGAGGACAAATTGGTCTTTCATTGAATTGCCAGATGCAAATATCAGCAATACATAAGTTATTTTCTAGACCATTATTAAAGGATTAAAAGTGGGTCCCAAATCTCTGTTGACCAGACTAATTTTCTCCTCTATGGTTGGTACATCTTTGCTCAATTTTGAGTTGTTTTTTACAAAGAAATTGTTGCATTGTTAAGCTAAGATGTACAAATAAAAAGAATCTCATTTATTGCTTTGTTTATTGGTTTGTTTTTATATACCATTGTCAGAAAATTACCTTTGATCCTATTTTGCAAACTACCAAAGCTTTCAATCGGTTAATACTTACAAGGATCACAAAAATACTTAAAAGCAGATTTAAAAATAGGTCGCAAGTTCATTTGCAAACAGAGACAGTTTTAGGACTGAAAGACCAAATCTTTGGAATTGTTTCTCCCTTGTGTGGGGGTAGGAGGATTGGTAACAGAGAAAAAGTTTTCATCACATAGTTTTGCCCTTAGAAATAAGCTTCAATCTTTCTCTTCTCTAAGAAACAATATCTCAAAGAAAGGCAACAGGATAACCTTTTAAGAGAATGTGAGAGCCTCTCTCTGCTGGACCATTCTGCTTGGCCCATGATGGAATTGTATCATAGAAAAATTGAATAGCTTCAGATGTTATGAAACTGGGTCATATCCCACCATCCTGATTGATCAGAAACTACACCCAAATCAGTGGGAGTGGGTCAAACCCCTGGAAATAATTGCAGAGCTCAGATATGTTTCATTGCCATTGAATTCCATGATAGGTTAAACAGATTTTCATCTTTAGTCATTCTTTCATTTGAACACAGAATGAATTTAAATTTTCCAAGCTAAGAATAAGAACAGTAAATTGAGCACTATTACATGTTTTTTTTTTTTTTAAATTTTGCCTTATATGTATTTCTGGTTTAAGAGATAATGGAGAAAATATTGATAATTTCTGGAAGAAAATAAAACCGCCTTTATTTCTACTATCTTGTGAATCATTCACTCATTATCAGGTACTACATGCCAGGCCTGGTTCTAGAAACTTAGGTTATAGCAGTAAACAATAGGCATTCTTATCCTCATGGGGCTGGCAGACTTGTGGGGGCTGAGGGAAAATAAAGCAAAACAAAATAAATTATAAAGTCTGTCAGAAGGGAAAAAAATAAAATGAAATCTTTACATTGCATACATTTTAGAGGGCACACACACATTCTATTTTGTGAGACTCTCATCGCTTGAAACTGTGCACCATGGCCCTGGGAAGGAAAAATGGAGGCTTTGGGCCAGCGCCGCGGCTCACTAAGCTAATCCTCTGCCTAGCGGCGCCGGCACACTGGTTTCTAGTTCCGGTCGGGGCGCCGGATTCTGTCCCGGTTGCCCCTCTTCCAGGCCAGCTCTCTGCTGTGGCCAGGGAGTGCAGTGGAGGATGGCCCAGGTGCTTGGGCCCTGCACCCCATGGGAGACCAGGAGAAGCACCTGGCTCCTGCCATCGGATCAGCGCGGTGCGCCGGCCGCGGCAGCCATTGCAGGGTGAACCAACGGCAAAGGAAGACCTTTCTCTCTGTCTCTCTCTCTCACTGTCCACTCTGCCTGCCAAAAAAAATAAATAAATAAAATAAATAAAAAAAAAGAAATGGAGGCTCTGATGAGTGGAGCGGGGAGAGGATGTGTTGGAAGGATGGCTGGCTTGCTCGAGAAGGCTACTTGAAGATGTGCTGTGTAAAGGGAAAGTGCTCTGGGTAGCAGTTTCAGCCTATGCAAAGGGAACCAGGCACCAGCAAGGAGACTGACATGGTTGGACAAGAGTCAGCCCAAGACAGTGGCAGGCAGATAAAGTCTGAAAGCAAGGAGAAGCTTATGCATTGAGCGTGATCTGCAGCCACTGAAGACTTTTTTTTTTTTTTTTTTAAGATTTATTTATTTGTTGGAGAGGAGCTTCTGGGTCTTCACATGCATGCAGGAGCACAAGCACTTGGGCCATCTTCTACTGTCTTCCCAAGCCAGAGTAGAGAGCTGGATCAGAAGTGGAGCAGCTGGGACTCGAACCAGTGTCTGTATAGGATGCCAGCGCCACAGGTGGAGGCTTAGTCCATTACACCACAGCGCTGGCCCCAGCCACTTAAGACTTTTGAACAGAGGACTCTAGTATCTTTAAAAGGTTATTCTCACTGCAATGCATAGAATAGACTATGGAGTTAGGGGTGTGCAACAGTGGAAGTCCAAAGACTAGTTAGGGGGCAATGCAGCAAAGTAGATGAAAAATTCTCCTGCTTCAGACCAGCGTGGTAGCACTCTGGTAGACAGTGTTTGGATTCTGCCTATATCCAAAATAAAAGGCCAATTAAATTTATTTTCATATAGCACATGCAATAATAATAGAAATAACTTCAAGTTTTTTGGTATTCTTACCATAATGGGGTATATCTGTCTAGTACTTTTGCATGAAGCTGTGTTTGTGTTTAGGTATATAAGTTATTTTGAGTATATTGGAACTCTTAATCCACTTACTAGTGTGTATTTAATATATAAGATAATCATGACATAAGAATATACCACATCCTTGAATATAGAGAATATGATTTAAAAAAAAAAGTTGTACATCATCCCACTACTCAAACATATTGCGCAAGGGTCACATTCAAGAATAGAGATGAGTTCTGTCAGAGCCTGGAGGTGGCCAGCAGTGTCTTTCAGAGAAGGGAGCTGTTTGACTTGCTGTGCATTCTTCTTGCCATGTTGGGACTCCTTAACTTGGGAGGTTTGCCGAAGACTTCATTCCCTGAAATTGGAAAGTCAGGAGTTAGGTGGTCAGGTCCCTGCTCTTTGCTGTGCAGGGGGTGCCTTCCCTCCCATGCTGATGGCAATGTCTCAGTTCAGTGCAGGCGTAGGGCATTCTCATGATCTTTGGTGTATCGTGGTCTTCCCAGCGGTAATGTGGGATTCACCCCCACTGTCACCACACACACAGTGAGTGTTACTAGGTTCTTCTGGAATCTTCTTCACTTGCCTGTCACTGTAGTCTGCTCGTCTTTCTTTTAATCTCATATAATTTTACCACAGTCCCCTTCCACTCACTGGTATTTATGCTTGATTTCCAATGCATCTTTTTCTGAACTCTAATTCAGACTCCTTTCATAGGTTTCTATTGGCCATTATGTCCATGCATTCATAATACGATTTTGAATGGATGTTTATAAACAGTTTTTGTGTGTGCACATGGGTCAAGAACAATAGCAAATGGAAATTCCAAGGCACAGTTCTTAAGTTATTGTAGATCAATTATGTTAACTTATTTCCTGGTAACTTTGAAATATATTTTAAATGACTATTCTGGCATGCAAAATTTTAATCAGAATTGAAACATTTTATTTGTTATAGAATATTATATATGTATGTTGTATGTTTTACTCATTACTGTAAGTTAAGACTATTTGATTTTTATTTGTTAAGAGGCAGAGATAAGTAAAGATAAAGAGATGGACATTTAGAGAAACAGAGAGATCTCTCATCCACCAGTTCACTCCCCAAACACCTGCAATAGCAGGGACTGGCCTGGGCCAGTATGAGAGCTAGGAACCAGGAATACAATCCAGGTCTCTCATTTGGGCAGCAGAAACAATAACTTAAACCATCACCACTGTTCCTGGGGGGTCTATCTTTGCAGGAAGGTAAAGTCAGGATCAAAGCTAGAAATCAAGTCCAGACACTTGTATGTGGGCATCTTAAACAGCTAAGCTAAATGCCCACTCTTTTACTTTCTCATTTATAATAAAAATAGGTGCAGTTCAGCTTTCAACATATGCAGCTCATCCTTGAAAATGAAGATCTTACCTAGAGGACAGTAAATGAAAAGAGAAAAATATCACTGAGTATAGGCATCACTGATTATCATGTAAAAAGATGTCTGTACAAGATTAAGCCACACTTGAATTTGTTACCACCAGGTTAAATAAGAGGAAGATGAACATGTAGGTTTTCTGTTGCCAACATGTCCATCCATCCATGAGTTCATTCTACATCTATTTGCGACGTTCATCAGGTACTGTTCTAGGCTCAGAGCAACCATTAATGAACAAGACATAAACAATTTTCTCTTGGAATTTACTATCTACTTAGGAGGACAAAAGATCAAGTGCATATGTTTCAGGTGATCTTAGGTGCCACAAGCATGCATAAAATAGGGCAGTAGGGTGAGGAGTGAAATAAAACTGGTATATGATAGCAGGTGATCAGGAAATTCCTATTTATTTATTTATTTATTTGACAGGCAGAGTTAGACAGTGAGAGACACAGAGAGAAAGATCTTCCTTCCATTGGTTCACCCCCAAATGACCGCCATGGCCGGCATGCTGCGCAGATCCGAAGCCAGGAGCCAGGTGCATCCTCCTGGTCTCCCATGCAGGTGCAGGGCCCAAGGACCTGGGCCATCCTCCACTGCCACAGCAGAGAGCTGGACTGAAAGAGGAGCAACCGGGACAGAATCCGGCACCCCAACCGGGACTAGAACCTGGGGTGCCGGCGCCGCAGGCGGAGGATTAGCCAAGTGAGCCGCGGCGCCAGCCCCAGTCAGCCAACTTCTTAGATTCATGGATGACCAGCACAAATTTGATCAAAAAGGGTGGCCAGATGTCTAATTAAAGAGGTAAGGATAATGTTACTAGATAAAACAGCACGATAAATAGGGGAGAGGGTAACAAAGCAAGTTTATTTGATATTGGGACAACTATATTTTGCTTACCCAAATTAATTTTCCTTGAATTCTCTTTCTTTCCTGGAGGGCTCCGATTTTATTCTACTGTACCTGCCACTCCTCAGACACATGTAGTCACTCGCTCTGAGAAGGTGGTCTTTCTGCCAGACTCAGAGGTGGTGGGGCTTGTGCAGTCCCAGCCAATTGCCACAATTGACTTCCACAGTCAGTGAGTGATTTAGGTAGTTGCATGTGGCCAGTCCTGTCCAGTAGAATCTGAGGGAAACTCTGCTGGAGAAGAGCTTCTGATGTTGGTTACTTCTGATGTTGGTGGGCTAGAATAGCCTGGCTGGAATTGCTGCTAATGTCTTGCGACCTGAGGACAAGACTCAACACATTGAGGGTGGTCAGAGATTGGCCCTGGCACCATCTATAAATGAGTATCTGCCTCTTGCTTTAGAAAATAATTCTGGAATCCACACCCAAAGGGGAGAACCACAAGACTCATAATTCATATAAGAGATGTGTATATATATGTTTATATATCTTAGTGTCTATATTTTCTATATGTAAAATGATAAAATTGTAATCTCATTTGTAATAATAAATATTAGAAACAACCCTATTATATATATATAATCAATAGACTCATATGACATTATCATTTAATGTTATGCACCAAATAAAGGATGTTTTCAAAGAAAATACTCATAATAAGTTACTAGAAGAAAGTACAGAAAAATACAAGGCTACTTCAAAAAGTGCCTGAAAAAAATGGAATTAAAAGGTTTGGTGAAAACCAAATTGAAATCCATCCATATTTTTTCATAATATATACTTCCATGAATTTTTTGAAGACATCTTGCATTAAAAATTTGTATTCAAGTCTCAGTTCACAAGGTGCACACGTATGACACAGTGGCTCTGGTCTCAGCCAGGCCCTCTGCTAGGGTTAGAGCACTACCTATTGATGTTCTGTACCACACAGGGACGGCAAGGATGGGTTCCAGTGTGTAAAGGTTTTTAGCATCAAGGGCCAAGGCAGCAGGAGATATGAGCCTGTGGATGACACTGCCAAGATTGCAGCATAGGAAAGATTAGAATTCAAATCAACTTGAGTCGTACAAGAACTTGAGGCGTCTAAACTAATAATATGCAATGACCTGCAGAGGTGAAAATGAGCCAGAATCTGGACTTTTTCACAGATGTGAGACTAGGAATGCTTCCTGAGTCACTGGTAAGATGTGGTGTTTACAACTAGCAGATTGAATACTTCAGAACACAAGCAAGGGAAAGTCATTCCTCCTCCCGATTCCCTGGCATAAACACAGCTAGCCTCTTTATCCCGGCACACTCTTGTCACTGGGAAAGGAAAGAAAATGGTGGGAGAATAAACATGATGTGTTAATTTTTTTTCTTTGCTTACTTTATTTATTTGAGAGAGAGAGAAACAGAGATTTCCCATCTACTGGTTCACCCCCCAAATGCCTCCAACAGCTAGAGCTGAACCAGACCAAAATCAGGAGCCAAAAACACAATCCAGCTCTCTGCTGTGGGTGGCAGAGACCCAACTATTTCCAGGGTGCACACTAGCAGGAAGCTGAAATCAGGAGTTGAACTAGACCTCCAAGCCAGGCACTCTGATATGAGATCCAGGAATCTCAAGAGGCATCTTAGCAATGACACCAAGCATCCACTCCATGCAATGTGTTTTATGTGGACAGTGTGCCAGTTTGGCTGTCTGCGTGGTGATACTCTAAGTTGCCAGAGCTTGGATTCCTCTTAAACCAAAGCCTGAGAGAAGACCTTGAGTTCTAATAGGTTCCTGGCAAGTGATTCCCTGAAACAGGAATGAGGGAGGTGGGGGAGGTGGAAGGAAAAGCTAACACTTGCATAATGGTACATTGTCAAGGTCACTGCTGAAAAGTTTGCAAGCCAAACAAAAAGCTGGTGTTGATCAGTAGGGTACCTCCTACAGATCAGAGAGGCAGGAGCACCTACTCACCCTCTCCTGCTCCTATTTCATGCTTTGGTGCCATCTCTCCGTACATCCAGGCTGCTCGGATGTGCACAGCCGTCCGGCACCTGTGGAAGCCACCTCTGGGAGAGCCCTGGGGAAGAATGGCACACCTGTTTTGCATTTGCTTTGTCAGGGCCCTCTATGCAAGGTGGATCTCTGCTTCCATGGAAATATTCCCAAGAGTTGAGATGAGGGGCTTACAGCCCTTGGAAACAGTATTTTGGGGGTCAGAGTTTGAGATGAATTAGTTTGACTTTTTAAGTCAGTATTTCAATTCTTTCATCAGCTACCTTTTTACACATTATAGGAGATAAGGAATGACAAGTAGTTAGGATCCCTTCTAAGATTCCCGCTTGATGTAGAAGATAAGCTCATTTCAATTAAATATGTTACGACAGAGTCTTCAAAAATTTGTGAAAATATGTATAATAAAAATATTTTGCATAGATTTCAGAAAGTTTTGCAACAACATAAACCTATCTTTTTTTTAACTTTTATTTAATGAATATAAATTTCCAAAGTACGATTTATGGATTACAATGGCTTCCCCCCCATACCGTCCCTCCCACCCACAACCCTCCCCTTTCCCACTCCCTCTCCCCTTCCATTCACATCAAGATTCATTTTCGATTATCTTAATATACAGAAGATCAGCTTAGTATACATTAAGTAAGGATTTCAACAGTTTGCTCCCACACAGAAACATAAAGTGAAAAATAATAGATGATTTTTTTAAATGATGATGAAATCAGATCAGACCTATTGTCATGTTTAATCCCAGTGAGAGTCAAGTTGGGAATTGATAATTTCTTTTTTTTAGAGGATCACTTTAGTATGCATTAAGTAAAGATTTCAACAGTTTGCACCCCCATAGAAACACAAAGTGAAATATATTGCTTGAGTACTCGTTATAGCATTAAATCTCAATGCACAGCACATTAAGGACAGAGATCCTACATGAGGAGTAAGTGCACAGTGACTCCTGTTGTTGACTTTACCAAATGACACTCCTGTCTATGGCATCAGTATTCTCCCTATGCTCCAGTCATGAGTTTCCAAGGCTATGGAAGCCCTCTGAGTTCTCCGATTCTTATCTTGTTTAGACAAGGTCATAGTCAACAAAAATGGAGGAATCTGGAACACATCATGCTGAGTGAAATAAGCCAGTCCCAAAGGGACAAATACCATATGTTCTCCCTGATCGGTAACAACTGACTGAACACCAAAAAGGAAACCTGTTGAAGTGAAATGGACACTATGGGAAATGGTGACTTGATCAGCATAGCCCTGATTGTTAATGAACAACTTAATACATTATCCCTCTTAGTAGTTTTTTTGTCTGTTCTACTTAATATGACTGGTTTAATTCTGTAATTAATACACAGTTATTCTTAAGTGTTGAAAATTAACTGAAATGTGATCCCTGTTAAACATAAGAGTGGGAATAAGAGAGGGAAGAGATGTATAATTTGGGACATGCTCAAGCTGACTTGCCCCAAATGGTAGAGTTAGAAACATACCAGGGGATTCCAATTCAATCCCATCAAGGTGGCATGTACCAATGCCATCTCACTATTCCAAGTGATCAATTTCAGTTCACAATTGATCATAATGAAAGGACTAAGAGTCAAAGGGAGCACATAAACAAGTCTAGTACCTGCTAACACTAACCGATAGAATAAATAAAGGGGAGAGTGATCCAACATGGGAAGTGAGATACTCAGCAGACTCATAGAATGGCGGATGTGCTAAATAGCACTCTGGCCTCAGAATCAGCCCTAAAGGCACTTGGATCTGGCTGAAAAGCCCATGAGAGTATTTCAGGCATGGAAAGCCAAGACACTCTGGCAAAAGATCTCTGTGAGTGAGATCCCAGTGGAAAGAACAGGTCTTCAAAGAAGGAGGTACCTTTCTCTGAAGGGAGGAGAGAACCTCCACTTTGACTATGAGCTTGTCTAAACAAGATAAACCTATCTTTTAATTCCATTTTTCCTTTAAATGTTTAAAGTACTCTTTGCACATATTCTCATGGAGGTACACATTAAATGCCCAATTACGTGAAAGCTATTTTTATTCCATAATGAGGAACACTCTCAGAGGACATGTACACACACGTGTGTATATACATGTACGTGTGTTATGTTTGTATAGTGTGTGTATGTTTACGTGTATATGTGTGTGTGCTTGTGTGTGTATAATTCTTTCTTGCAGAAGACAAAGGTTGCCCGTTTCAAGTGAACAATTTATCCTTAATATCAAAACTCAAATCTAGAAGCATGTTAAGATTCATGGATTGCAAAAAGATTACACATTAGCCTGGCTTTGGTGAAAGTGTCTTTTCCTCCCAATTCATATTTATGCTTCGGATATTTTTGTATTTCTGGTTTTTCTGGTACTTACTTTTATTCATGGCTCAAATAAAAAGCACCCACAAAGCTTCTTCCTAGGTTGGAATTTGTGTTCGACAGAAGAAAACCTTTGCACCTGCCGCTAAAACACATCCACTTCTGGGGTGGAATGCACCAGCTGTTCCCCAGTCTCCAACGGCCTGCCGGGCCGCTGAGAACTGAGGAAGACACATCGCATCCCAGGCAGAGGAAGCTGGTGGGGAAATTTCAAGTCGACAGAATGCAATTACCCAAATTGAAATGAGGCCAGGGGCGTATTGGGAGGCCCTTCCCATCTGTTGGGGAAGAGGATCACCAGATATTTACCAAGGGCCAAGTGGTCAGGATCTTAGCTTCAGGGGGTCATTTAAAAGGCAGACATGTGGGGAAAAAAAAGCTACAGGAAAACTGTACCTGGTATAAAAATCATATCCCTTCACAGGAAAATAGATAACATTAAGGCCTTGAAAAGCTCAGCTTTTCGCGCTCTGCAGGTAAAGAAATGTTTATGGATGGGAGGTTAAGTATTTCTACATCGGCTACTCTTAGCAAGGACATGGTATAATGCACAATTGGTTATACTGGAACTGACAAAAAGAGATTTCCCAAACCAAGCATATTGAATCCAATATATTTATGCCTGCTCATAATGGATAGAAACCTCTATAATGAACTCAAGCAACGATGTTGTGCGATTCTTCTAGGAGCCTTGAAACAAGCCTTGCTTCTTTACCAAGAAAATGAGCTAATTCTCAGGGTTTGTAGCAAAAACAAATAAGCTGGAGCTGGCCAGGTGTTTAATAGCTACTTGATGGTGACTGCACATCAGAATCCTAGAATCTGCAGGTCCATTTAAAGCCAGGGTCCCCGGCCCCTGGAAACAGCTCTACCCTTCCCTGCAGAGGGAGACATTTGGCCAAGAAGTCTTAGTCTGTAAGCATTAGGAACCCGAGCATTGTCCCCTACTCAGGGAGACAAAGAATAAGGCAGCTCACACAGATCATGGTTTAGGGGAATCCATCCTACTGGGCGAACAGACTGGCTTTCCCCTGTTCCTGTACCTTTCCACTTGCCCTTTTTTTTGGACTGGGACCTCGGTGTTGGCCACCCCGGAGGGAGGAATATTATAAATGCATCTCTGGGCTGGACATCCTGTTTTGGAGACATGGGGTCCCAGGGTCCCCACCCCACACCCCACAAAGGACAGTTTGAGGGACGGAGTCTTTGCTGCCGCTCCCTGCAGCACACACATTAGCAGATGCCACACTGCTAATCCTGAAAAGCTTTTGCTCCTCTTTCCCACTGGATCTGGAGAGGAAGGAAAAAAGATGAGTTGGTAAGAAATGTTATTCAGCATTAAAAAGAAAAATATTCCTTTGTTAGGGGGTTCGCTTTGAACTCTCTTTGCTGGCAGAAGCTGCATGCTGGGGGAATCTGAGAGAATGGCCAGTGCTGGAGGGGGTGAGACAAGGTTAACTGTCAGATTCCTGGGTAAGAAGGGAGAAGCCACAGCAGGTCGCCAGCACGCTGGGACTCTGACTGCCCCGCCCCCAACCCCCCAGCCCCCATCACAGTGTCACCATTTACCTGACACTGTGGCAGTTAACATCAGGAATGTCAGGATCTCAGTTCTGTCACAGTGATTTCGCCAGCACACTGTGCCAAGGCTTCCGAGAAAACCGCTCATGAACTCAGTCCAAGCAAAGCCGGAACCTAGCCATAACCAACTCCTGGGCTCATCTCCACCAGGTGTGGGTCCCTGACGATGCTTGCTGAACTCTGACCTGAGGTTTGCTACGTGTCTACTAATCAGCCAGCACAGATGTCTTAATCTGTCTTTGTTTCTTCCTGGATAATTTGAGTGAAAAGGTGCATCTCTCACAGAGGAAAACAGAGGGCATATTAGTTAATGTGGATCCAGAGCTCCACAAACGCTGAAAACCTGGCATTATTATTTAGAGGTTTAGCTCGTACTAATTACCTCTTAGTTTTACTAGCCCTGTGTAACAAGCTACCTTCTGCACATTTTATGGGAAAGCTGGTTTTCTGAAAGGATGAAAGTTGTAGGAGCAGGGAATGGAATAGGTGCTAAGTTTTATTTCCTCCTAAATCATTCCTCGTAAGGTGGGTAAACTTTTAGTGGTTAAATTGCCAGAAACGACAATTCTACGCACCAAGAACAAATCTCCAAGTGACAATTATTTGTCTGTGTTCTTAGCATTTATGAGTCTCAGTAAACAGTCAGTGCATTTATGTTCCCCTTATTACCTTGGGTCATAAACGTCCTTAAAGAAGAACGAGGAATGATGTTTCTTGACTGCATAATGAGCACAGACATTTGGAAGACAGGGAGCCCCTGGGGAGACGGATGGCACATCTGGGCTCTCAGGGCTTGACCCGCTTGGAGGCACTGGCAGGAGTGTCAGGCTGACCATGCAGCTGAGACTGCGGATGCCACCTCTGGAAGGAACAATCCCCATTTGTGGGGTTGATTTAGCGTTTGGGGCTTCCCATCATGCAGCTGCAGGGAAGCACTAGCAGTCTTACCAACCCCCTGGCACAGGTCAACCTCGTGCTGCTTATGTGAGCCTTACCATACACCCCAGGGGCAGCCGGTGTCCCCCTGCAGCCAAAATAATGCAGACTCATCTGGGTTCAATAGCAAGTGCATTGCCCACTGTGGAATATCCGAGTCTGAAAGTGACCTTGTATGTCTAAGCTCCGCCTGCGTTTTAGACTCAAGGTAACTGGAACTCAGCTGGAGAACTGATCTCACCAGGGTCAGTCACCCCCAGTCACGATGCCGGCATAGCCTTACTTTGGGTTTGACACTCTTAAATATCTTCATGGGGTCAGTGAGGCAGGGCAGATGAGAGGGTAAGAAAGGAAAAGGCAAAATAGGCAAACGAAAGAGAGATAAAGAAAACAAGGAAAGTAAAGCTGAAGGAGTTAGTTTTTCCTTCATAGTTGCTGTGAACTTAATTATTCTTTATATAGCAATCAATAACAGATAAGTGCCACTTTTTCACCACTGGAAGTGTGTAAATGAAAAGAGAATTAAGAAAACTGCTTGTTTCCTAGATCAGCACTTTTCAAACTATCTGGTAAACGACTGATTTTGTTTTTCCTAAGTTGACTCCAGTAGAGATTTTTTAAGGTACAATAAAAATTACTAGAAAGACTAAGTTCAAAAAGTACACTTCCAAGGCCATATGAACTTTCTTACTTTGAGGCCAAAGACTAAAATTCCTCAGAGAAATTACTATGAAGTTGCTAGACACTTCACTGTTACTGTTCATTGCACCTGCTGGTCTTGGACATATCACAGTGTGCCATTCAGCAGTTGTTGGTGTACCTCACTTTTTCTCTCATGTTCAAGATACTAGCTTAAAATTTTATTAAAAATAGGGCTCCAGGTATACAATATGATATGTATCAGAAACACAACTGTGGTTAAAGTCTTATCAGGAAGAGTTCATTTGGGGATAGTTTTGGTTTACCTGGATTGAAGATAGATAGGATTTAAAATATAAAACATGGCCAGTTTTCATTCAATATAGACTCTCCACCGAAACTTCAGTAGGCTTTGAAAGGTCCTCATCAGTTAGGATTAAACAAAAATACAGAACTCCTTGGCCGGTGCTGTGGCTCACTTGGTTAATCCTCCACCTGTAGCGCCAGCATCCCATATGGGTGCCGGGTTCTAGTCCCGGTTGCTCCTCTTCCAGTCTAGCTCTCTGCTGTAGCCTGGGAAGGCAGTGGAGGATGGCCCAAGTGCTTGGGCCCTGCATTTGCATGGGAGACCAGGAGGAAGCACCTGGCTCCTGGCTTTGGATTGGCACAGTGCTGGCCGCAGTGGCCATTTGGGGAATGAAACAATGGAAAGAAGAGTTTTTTCTCTGTCTCTCTCTCTCTCACTGTCTATAACTCTACCTGTCAAATAAAAAATTATAAAAATTTACAAAAATACAGAACTCCAGTTAGTTGAGTCTCAGGTGCTCAGCTCAATGAATAATTTTTGTAAGTATAGTCTAAATATTTCATGGAAAATATCTTTGCTAATAGATTCAAAACTTAATTATTGTTTTCCAAAATTCAGATTTCTCTAGGTGTCCTGTATCTAATCTGATAATTCTAATTAATAGCATTTGGCCTGGGCTTCTGTCACTCTAGATTTTTCTAGGGAGAAGAATGGAATCAGCCCAGCCAAATAAAATCTAGCCATGCTGACCTAACCTGCTTAGCTATTGGCAACTGCTAGCTGGAAAGGCACTAAATAGCGATAACATTCCTTTTAGAAAATGGGTTTCCCCTGGACAAAGTACCCACTCATTTTCTGCTACTTTCAGACTTTCCGTTTCTTTTCCAATGTACTGGTGCACTGATGACCCAAGTCATGATGGGAGATACTTCTGTGAGTAGCACCATTAAAATCTGCCAACCACATTAGCACAATATTGGGTGAACAGGCTGCAAATATTGGGATTCTTTCTTAAAAAAATACTTTAAAAAATTTATTTGCAAGGCAGAATTGGAGAGTAGAGAGAGAAAGAGAGAATCTTCCATCTGCTAGTTTACTCAACAATAGGCCACAACAGCCAGAGCTGTGACAGGCTGAAGCCAGGAGCTTGGAGCTTCTTCCAGGTCTCCCACATGAGTGCAGGGCCCTAAGACTTCGGCAATCCTCTGATACTTTCCCAGGTGTATTGGTAGGGAGCGGGAACAGAAGTGGAGCAGTTGGGTCTTGAACCATATCGGCTGCCAGCATTGCAGGTGGAGGCTTAACACATCACACCACAACATTGGCCTCAGGATTCTTTTAGAGAGAGGCATAGTAATAGACTGAAAAAAAAGTCTATCTCTGCAACTGTCACAGATGTATCAATATTTTAAAAAATCGACCATGACAAGTATCAGGTGAAAGTAGAAAGGCTGAGATAGGTTGAAAAGTGAAATCTTAGATATAATGCAGGTTTCTTCTAGTTCTTTCAAAGATACGTCTTCTGCCATTGCTAACTATTACTCTTTCATTAAATGAGAATATTTGATTTTGGTTTTAAATGATAGTTTTGATTTTACTTTGATATAGATGAATGATCCCAAACTTTACAGCATAACATAAAATTTTCTTAATTTGATGTTTGATTCAAATAGGGAGGAAGTCTTTATTTAAAATACACAATTTATTTTGATATCATTGCCTCTGGTATTATTGCCGCTATTTTTTTTTTTTTTTTTTGACAGGCAAAGTGGAACAGTGAGAAGAGACAGAAGAGAAAGGTCTTTCCTTTTGCATTGGTCACCCTCCAATTGGCCGCACGGCCGGGGCACCGCGCTGATCCGATGGCAGGAGCCAGGAGCCAGGTGCTTCTCCTGGTCTCCCATGGGATGCAGGGCCCAAGCACCTGGGCCATCCTCCACTGCACTCCCGGGCCACAGCAGAGGGCTGGCCTGGAAGAGGGGCAACCGGGACAGAATCCGGCGCCCCGACCGGGACTAGAACCCGGTATGCCGGCGCCGTTAGGCGGAGGATTAGCCTAGTGAACCGCGGCGCCGGCCGCCTCTGGGTTTTTAAAAATTTCCTCTCAGCTAGTAATAAAATTATACTTCAGAGTGTACTTACCTAAAAATGTCCTTTAAATAGATATTTATTTTAAAGAATGCAACAGATGCTTATTTTAAGACAAATTAGAAAGTGCCCAAATCCTTGACAAAGAAGAGTAAAATCACCAGTTGCCCAACCAGGGGGAAGACTCTACTGTTGTGATTTTGGGGTAGTTCTTCCCTGGTCTGTGTGCTTCTATTTCATCGATGAGGACCTGCTGTAGGCTGATGATGCTCCAAAAATTCGTGAGAAAAGGAATTAAAAGTTTATTTCATGCAATGAATTTTAAAATCCATACTTATTTTTTTATGATAATACACACATTCTACAAACTTTTGAAGCTCTCTCACAGTGTTCTATCTTTAATTTCTGAAGTAGTTGTACAAATGAAACATGTCTCATGTTGCTAGAATACTTTCTAGATATGGTTTTCCATTGGATCAAAATCTGTACTGTCAGTTATTTACTTAACTTGCCAGAGTTGGATATTCAGGTTTCTCTAGGTACCTACTGTTAAAATGTTCTCTAATAATCTGGTTTATATTCCTAAAACTGAAACCACTTGTGAAAAGAATGAATATTTTTAAGCTTGGGTCAGTGTCATGTGTGGCTCAGCAGGTTAAGTCATACTTGCGACATCAGTATCCTATATGGGAGTACCAGTTGGAGTCCCGGTTGCTCCTTTTCCCATCCTGCTTCCTGCTAATCACCTGGGAAGGCAATGGAAGATGGCTCGAGTACTTGGGTCCTTGCCACCCCTATGGGAGACCTCGATGAAGGTTGGACTCCTGGTTTCAGCCTATTCTAGCCCTGGTTGTTGTGGCCATCTGGGAAGAGAACCAGAAGATGGAAGATCTCTGTCACTCTGCCTTTCAAGTAGGGAATGAATACATAAATCTTTAAACATATTTTAAGGATATACACATTGTACAAAAACATTATAGGGACACATATAAGATGAGAAACCTAGATGGCAGCCGAGTAAGAGGCTCTGGTGACCACCTATCCACAGAGACACCCGTACACACCAAGTCACCTTCACAGGAGCAATAGAAACCAGCTGAGAGACCACAGTGCCTTGTCTTCTCATAAACATAAGACAAATTGCAGAGAAGAATGCAAGAAGGAAAGAATAGCTGACATCACATCTCTACCAGGTACAAGCTGGGTGTAGACAGATGCCTCCCCCGGGGAGAGGGAGAGCAAACTGAATCCCAGTGTCAGGCCCATTGCCAAAAAAAAAAAAAAAAAAAAAAAAAAAAAGTCATTCTGATTGAGTCTCTCCTGCCCTGCCCTTGCCCCCCAAACTTACACCTGTGGAATGAATATTTAGAACCTCCACAGCCACCAACAGAATGCAAAACTCCAGCCCTGTAGGGAAGAGGGAGAGGGAGCTTAGGAGCACACTTTGGAGCTGAGTTGGGCATACCATACTGAGACCTGGCACCTCATAAAGCCTAAAGGCCTGTACCTCTTTAGTCCTAAACCTATCCCTGGCCAGTGCTCGCTGAGTTACCAGACTTGCCCAGCATTGGACCAGTAATCAATAGCAAGATTAAATCAATAATAAAAATAAATCTCCCTCCCCAAACTTTTAGAAAAGAATTAACACCAATCCTTCTCAAACTATTTTTTTAAAAAAAATAGAAGACAAGGGAATTCTTCCAAATTTATTCTGTGTGGCAAGCAGCATTATCCTGATACCAAAACCAGACAAGGGCACTAAAAAGAAAGCTATAGGCTAATATCCTTGACAAACACAGGAGTAAAAATCCTCAACAAAATACTAGCAAATCAAATCCAGCAGCACATTTAAAAGATCCTTCACCATGATGGAGTGGGCTTCATCCTGGCACGCAAGGCTGATTCAGCATCTGCAGTCACTAAATGTGATAAACCACACCAACAGAGTGGGGGACAAAAATCACATCGTTGTTTCAAAAGATGCAGAAAAGCTATGTGATACAATTTAACATCCTTTCCTGATAAAAACTCAGACCAAATTAGGTATAGAAGGAACATTCTCCAACATAATAAAGATAATATCTAAAAAGCCGACCTCCAACATCAAATTGAATGGGGAAGACCTGAAGACTTTGTAAGATCTGGACTAAGACAAGATGTCTACTTTTATAAATTTTGTTGAACATGGTAGGTCCTGGCTAGAAAAATCAAGCAAGAAAAAAAAACAAAGGGTATGCAAATTGGAAAGGAAGACGTCAAACTGTCACTATGTGCAAATGACATGACCTTATATATCAGAAACCTCAAAGGCTTCACCAAAAAGCGGATAGAACTAATAAATAAATTCAGCAAAATTGAAGCATTTGAAGTCAACCTACAAAAAAGCTTAGTGTTGTGCCCAGCATTTTGGTTTAGTGAATTAAGCTGCAAGCTGCTACACTGGCATCCCATATGAGCACAAGTTCAATTCATGGCTGCTCCACTTCTGATCCAGCTCCCTGCTGACACCTAGGAAAGCAGTGGATGACAACCCAAATCCTTGGGCCCCTATACCCATGTAGGAGACGCTGATGAAGCTCCTGGCTCCTGGCTTAGGCTGGCCCAGCCCTGACTGTTGTGGCCATTTGAGGAGTAAACCAACAGATGGAAGATGTCTCTCTCTCTCTCTCTCTCTCTGCCACCTCTCCTAGTGACTTTTCAAATACATAAATGCATATATTTTTAAAAATTTTGTTATACAAAAATAGTGAAAAAGTAATCTAGAAAGTAATCACATTTCTAATAGCTACCAAAAACCAGCACAAAAGTAGATTTAAATAAAGAGGTGTAGGGTCTCTACAATGAAAACTATAAAACTATAAATCACTAATGAAAGAAATTGAAGATGATGCAAAAAAATAGGAAGACATCCCCTATTCATAGATTGGCAGAATCAATACCATTAAAATGTGCATACTAATGAAAGCAGTTTACAAATTCAATGAAATCTCTTTAAAAAAATCCCAATGATATTTTTTCACAGAGCTAGAAAAAAAAAAAAAAACTCCTAAAATTTGTATGGAACCACAAATAATCCAGAATAGCGAATGCTATTGTGAGCGTAAAGAACAAAGCAAAAGAATTACATTACCCTACTTTAAAATATATTACAAAGCTACCATCATTAAAAGAGCATGGAATTACCATGAAAAGAGATCTATAGATGAGTGGAACAGGATAGACATCTTAGAAATTAACCCACACATCTATAGCCAGCTGATCTTTGACAAAGGTGCTAAGAACACAAATTGGAAAAAAGATCTTTTAACAAATTGTACTAGCAAAATTGGCTATGCACATGCAGAAAAATAAAACTAAACCCTATCTCTCTTCATGTACAAACGTTAACTTAAATTGGATTAAATACCTAAATGTGAGACCTGAAATTCTGAAATTGTTAGAAGAAAAGTGAGGAATCATTTGTAAGTTTTTAGTGTGGTATCTGATATGCAGTAGGCCGGATGCATGTCAGTGTATTTCTCCTTAGCCTGTCTCATCAGTTCAGCCAGTTACCGTAGACTGGGTGGCTTAAACAACTAACATTGGACTCCTGGTTTCTTATGGTTGATGTCTGGAGATGGCCTGCTTCGTGGCTTGTAAGGGCTGTCTTCTCACTGGTCCTTCCATGTTGCCGAAAAAAGTCCTGTCGCACATCTTTCTTATCAGAGCATTAACCCCAATCATGAGGGCCCCATCCCCATGGCCTAATGCTCTCCTAACAAACGTCCTGCCTCCTAACACAATTGCATTCAGAGTTAGAATTTCATGAAGTTTGGAGGAACACAAATATCCAGTGTACAGCACCTGCCAGCCTTCTTTCTTAGCTGGCCAACCCCAGTGCCCTTGCCCAGTGGTCGCTATTGCCCACTCTTCCCCTCTTCTCAATGCTCAGTACCTTATGCATTCTTCCAGATAACTGAACATTTTTGCCCACCTGTTGAGTATAATCCCTCCTTCTCCTTTCTATTATTTCAGCAAGTAGTGTGCATTAACCACTAGTAGTGAAGGCATGTGTTGATTTTGGGGAAAACCATTGATCCATCCATTTATTTAACAGTTATTGCATATATTAAATCCTGAGTCATGTCCGATGCATTGGATGTAATGTGAACATGGTAGATCAGTTTCTTGCCCTGTGGAACTTACATATTCATGTAAGAGAGATTCCAACAAGAAAACCAACAGTCATATAATCACACTGCAAGTAATGCTGTACCAGTCAGAGAAGGCTAGACTCTTCTGTGATAACAGTCACCAAATTCCACAAGGGTGCTGGAACAAAGATTTAATTTTTGTTCACAGCAAGTCAGTTGCTGTTCTCTGCCTTCCAAAGCAATGCCTTCTTCTGGTTCCTCCATGTCAGCACATGGTTCCACCAGAGAATAAAAGCTGTCGCATGCGTCACTGCCGCTACGTATTTTATTGGTCACAGCACATCACATGATCATGCCTACTTTCAATACAATGGTCAAGTGTGAATCTTTGTAGTCCTGTGGAAGAGGAGAACTGAAGGCACCCACCATAATTCTGTAGTTCTATGAAGGACATAGAGTGTGGGAGGATGGGGTGCATTTTCAAAGTAAATGATCGCATCAGAATTTATGTGTATTTAAGGAACATAATTTAATAACTGCTATCACAAATTGTTACTCCCGTATGAAATAAATCAAGGTCATTCATGAATGGCTGAAGTTGGTAAACAGACTTGTTAAGCCTCTTTGAGGACTAGAGTGATAATATTTATATTGATCTCCTGAATTATTAAGACACACAGTAAGAGCTCAATGAAACCTTTTCAAAATTAATAATGTTGTTTTGAATTCTTTGTTTTCTATTTAACTGTCTCAAATGTATATGCTATATATTCTAGTTTCATATTGAGATTTGAAATTGTTCTCTAAGGTCAATTTTTAATGTCTTTAATTTTTTTACATCTAATTGTAGTCTCAATTTGGACCACCCATGACTAAATCTCTAGTTGTCTCTTTCTTGTAATTTGTCTTAGATGTTTTCCTAAACCATTAGTAAGTATTCAGTAGGAAAAAAGGAAGCATTATGTTAGAATTTGGAATCTATCATCCTGTCTTTAAAAAAAAAACTTTTATGTTTAACATTCCTTTGACAATTGCTGTATTGAAAAGGGATTTCAGAAATTTGAATAAAGAGGGCAGAAAAATGACAAGATTTTTTAAAAAATTTATTCAAGGTCATAATGTTCTTCTTGAATATCAGATAGTGTACTTGCTTTTGAGATACTACAGTTATGCGATTGCCTCACCTCTTCCTTGTTCATTTCATTTACTTTTTATCAAGTCTTCAGGGTTTAAAAAAGTAAACCACTCTAGGAGAGGCCCCAGCTGTTATCTGAGTGGACAGGTCAAGGGCAAAACAGAAGGAAGCCTCCAGCTACCCACTGGACCTTCCTTTCAGGACCGTCACTGCCCCACTCTCCAGGGCATGACTAAGGCATCTTCCTAATCCTGTTAGTTGGTCCTAAATAAGTGCTCTTCCTTCTGATCTCTGAGTGACATCAATCTGGGAGCATCCATGCCCTTTGATGCTGTTTGCTGCTCTTGGATTTGTCTGAAATTTGTTGGTTAGTTGGCAAATGGGACACAGCTGGCTTTTGATTTAGACAGTGCCTTAAACCAGTTACCTCCTACCTTAACTTCATCATTTAAATGGAAAGTGCTACTGCTCCAGCAGAGCAGAAATGATATAAAAACTATTTCTGACATGACTATCTTGTCTCCTGAATTGCCATGGCTACTGGTATCTCTGAGAGAAAAAAAAAATAAAAACTAAAAATAAAAACACAGGTTTTACAATTCTCACAAGCAGTAAACCCACTTTGCATTACTTAAGCAAAGCTTTAAATGTGCAATGAGTGTTCTTAGGCTAATGACAATTGATGCCCAGAACATTACAATAATACAATGAAACAGAATAGCATTGTGCAAAGTGGCAATTTGTGCAGAAATTGCTGATAGCATCAACACATGCTGGGAATTTTACATATAAGTGGGCTATAGTGTTGGCTGAGGAGTTATTTATTTGGCCTTTCATTTGTAAATAAGGCAGTATTGCTTTCCCTTGGAGGAGGATCCAGGCCACTTATTAATAAAAGACGACTTGCTGCCCTTTGTCCACAGTGGCAGAAATGACAAAAGCAATATCAAATCTGAATCTTAAAATTCTTAGCATTTGGAGGAAGCTGTACAGGTCACTAAGGTTTGCAGCATTCTGCAGTTGGAGATGTCTGGCTCCAGCATCGGAATATCTGCTTGAAGCCATTACTGTGCTAACTCTAGCTGTCACTTTTTGGTATCTGTGCCACAGCTTGCACGCTGCAGACACAGGCCCACGGCAACCTCACGTTCCCTGCTCCTTCAGACTGGCACGCTTTTCTCCCGGATGCAGACCGGAGTTTGTTGAGTTATCTAACATGTTACAAGGAGTTCTAGGTGCTTCATGTGTTTATCACGATGCATTCATAATAACGTAGGGCGTCGATAGTTCATCTGACGGTTGAACACATCGAGGGTGATGGATGTAGCAGAGGTAGGGTTGGAACAAGGGCAGTTCGGGCGGAAGCCGAGGCTAAACCACCGAGTACTCTCCCAGAACCTAACACCCAGGTGTGCTTCACGCTCCCTGGGCGTGGCTCACGCCTTCCTTGAATCTTAGGCCTCTTCCTTGCAGACCACTGGCCAAGTTATCCTGTTTAAAGTAGGATCAGTGACTGTTTCACTTTACTCTGCTTTATATTCCCTTACAGTATTAAATATCTCCTGCTCACCTATTGCATTTACATGGTTTTCTTATCGCCTCCGCTAGAATACACACTCCCTGAAGGAAGTGCCCTGGTTCTGATCCTTGTCTCCCTAGATCACCTGCACCAGCTCACCTCCTCACCCATGGGAAGGACTGAAATGCACAAAAAAAGAGTACACATTGAGTTAATTTTTTATCATCTGTAAACTATTTTGTTTCTCCAGCGTTTCCTGAGCATCTGTTTGTGCCCGACTCCGTGTTAGTTTTTAAAGCTACAGAAGGTGACCAAGAATAATACGGCTGCCCTCCCAGAGTTGAGCACATCCTGGAAGAAACAAGCAATGAACAGGCAAGCTCAGGAGGATAGGTATTGCCTTAGGGTGACTACAAAATGCAGCCTGGAGGAGAGGACTTAGGGAAAGCCACCCGACGAGATGATCTCCATGCCAGGGCCAGAATGACGGGCTGCGGGGTAGGAGAGGCAGAGGTGGGTCTGGGAGAGCCTGCTGGCAGAGGGAAAGTCGGAAGTTCTTGTGATGGTGCATTTCTGTCCAGAAAGTGGCCCAGTGTGACCCAGGCGCTGACTGCATGGAGCAGAGTTGAAGGAAGAGACAAGGGCAGGAAGCAAGGACAAGCCAGGTCAACGCTGATCTTTGAAACTAGTCGACGGAGTCAGGATTTTGTTGTCTGAGCAAAGTGATGCCCTGAAGGCTTTTCTAATCAACATGATGTGTATCATATGTGAGTTCGTGTACTGCCTTCAGACAGGGTAGCTGGCAGTGTCTCCATTTTACAGATGGGATAACTGAGGCCCAGAATAACACATTTAGAACACTGACAGAGTTGATAGAATTTTCTCAACTACAGAGTCGCAAGGCTACGAATTCCTCTCCTCACACCCTTCCTTCCTTCTGATTGTTATTCTTGTGCAAAGTAAAACATAGCACTATTTACCCACCACCCTTATCTTTCTCTGAGGAACACGAAGGAGCTCACACAGCTTCCAGAACCCTCCTCCTCTCTGGAAGCCTCGGGGTGGCGGGGCTGGTGCATGGACGGCCACCACGTGCGCATCAAGCCCCAGTCTTCTGTTCTTCCTAACCAGGAAGCTGGACGTGCACCAGGGACCTCTGGATGTGGGAGAACAGAGCCGACTTGATGAAGCTGAGAGGCGCTCAGTATTGGTCTGCCCACGCTGTGGGCATGCGTGAGTGCTCCCAGCAAAACACAGCTGGCACGGCTAATTTTAGCCTTGCCCGCCTTGAAAAGGAACCCTTTAAGGAAATATATTTTCTCTGAAACAATTTATATTATAATGTAGCAGCTGATCGACGTGTCAGAATATTATTATTGGTGGAGAAAAACTCTGCCAAGTAATTATGATTTTTGTTCTTTCTTTTGAGATAATATCAGTAAAGCTCCGGAAAGCATCCGTGAATCAAAATCATCAAAAAGACAGACAAATGGGAGAAACACTGATTTATTCAGATGAATCTGATACACCTAAGGGGTCACGTCGAGTTTCCCAAACTGCATATGAGGATATGAATTCTTCTTATTTTTTTTTTTTTTTTCTGATACCCCACGCTGGAAAGTCTAATCCGACGATGGCTTGTTAATTGTCCTGGAGCAGCCCCTAAAATTCCTTAAATACTCACTGCCCTCCTTGTCCTCCTGGGAGTGGGTTAGTTTCTCCACCAGCTTTGGATCCATCTGGCTTTAGCAGGTTAACAAGTTTTGAAAGCACCCGGGACATACTTTTTTCCACTCGAACTGGCAAGGTTAGTTCCTCTGCCCTTATTGTTCCCCCCTCCCCGCCAGCCCCTCCTCCCCCCCACTCCTCCTTCCTCCCTTCCTCCTCTCTCCCCTCCCGTGGTCTTCTGTGTTTTGTTTAGTTAGCAGTGTGGCTTACCTTGGAACTTGGCAAGCAAAGAAAAGAGGCAGCTCTGGAGCAGGGCAGATGGAGGGGAGGCTAAGCAATCACCCGCCGCCCGCATTGGAGTTCTTCAGAGTTCCAGCGGCGGCAGCTTTGCTGCAAAATTCGCTTTGCTATTCGAGATAGCCAGCAGAGGGAATCGCAACTTTGCTTGCAGCAGGGGCTGAAGCAGCTTTTTTTTTTTTTTTTTTTTTCTTGGAGGAAATACTGCAGCCTTCTGGACTGCGCACGCTGCTCCCTGGAGAGGCTCTCTTGGTTCCACCCACCGGCTGGAAGGAGGGGAAGTGAATGAAAGGACAGGACAAGCCCCGAACACCATGTCACTCTGGGAGGGAGACAGCAGCAACTAAGCTGTGCAAGGTGTTTTTTTTTTTTTCCCTTTTTTTTTCTTTTTCCCCTTTCTTTTTCTTTCTTTTTTTTTTTCTTGTTTCTTTCCCTTCTTTCTCTTTCTTGTTTTTGTTTCCTTCTTTTTCTTTAAGGTGGGGGAAGAGACAAACAGGAGACAGGAAGCAGATCTTGAAGAATTCGGAGTTGTGCTAAAAGGACTTTGATTTTTTTTTCTCTCTTACAAACGCTGGCAATTGACATCACTACAGCTTGGTTAGAGAGGAAACTGCCTCATCCCAAGTGGAGCCCGGCAGCTCGGAGAAGCCAGGCAAGATCCGGGAGGCTGTGTGTGTGCCTTTTTTTTTTTTCCTACAGATTCCACTCCCCACCTTTTCTTTGGTTGTTTTTTTATTTTTATGATTTTTTTTTATTTTTGGGGTGTGTGTGTTTTTGTTGTTGCTGCTGTTTTTTTTTTTTTTTTTTTTTTTTTCAAATTCTTGCTGTGTCGGAACTAGCGAGCAGTGGAGTCTCCGAAGCCGGACTGTCAGGAATAGTGGTTTGAGAGGAAGCTCGCTCGGCCTGGGGCACTAGACCCTGTCATCCAGTTCCCTGCCTCGGAGACTAAGATTCCAGCTACATGGGCAAACGCCTGGATCAGCCACAAATGTACCCCCAGTACACTTACTTCTACCCTCATTATCTCCAAACCAAGGTACGGCTCGACCACGGTCTGGCAGTCAGGGTGCTTGTCCTGCACTTGAGATGGGAGCAGGCAGAGGCGGGTGATCCCGCAGCCCCCACCCCCAGCACCTCTTCCTGCTCTGTGGAAATTAGTAGCATACCAATGGAGTGAACCAGGCAGAGGGAGGTAGGAGAGGGAAGCTCAGACCAGGGATCGCGGCTCTCTTTTTCAGGAGAGATCTTAGTTTCGCTGGAGTTCCTTTGTTGTTATTTGACAGCATGAGTGCTGCTGATATCCAGAAAGTCCTCTGCGGACGGGCAGGTTTTTTTTGTTTGTTTGTTTTTGTTTGTTTGTTTGTTTTTAGCAGGGAGCTCACAACAGTGGTTCTCAGGCACAAGAATATAATTTCAGGGGCTTTTTTTTCTTTTTTTTTTTTTTTTTTCTGGTGAGCTGGTCTTTGTTTTGTGGCTCTCAACGGGTTTTTCCCACTGGATGGAACAAGCCAGGCTGGGGGCAACGCAAACTTTTAATCGCTGAGTATAGAATGGAGAAAGGCTGAGGGGGGCTGTAGGGCACCTACCGAAGTCTCTGAGAGTTTGTTTGGGTGACTGTTTTATTTTCTACTTGCCGGAGCTGTTTTATTTTATATTGAGCATGGTCATGAGGCTAGTGACTGAATTAGAAGCCTTACAATAGGTATTCTTGATTTTATAAGCTCTATTCGTCTGCGTTAGTTGCCATCGGGAGGCCTGGGTATGAAAAAGGAATGAGATGTAACTGATAATAATTGGACTTGAACTGGTTAAATACTTCAGGCTTGCTGTGTGTGTGCTCAAGTGGTCATTAGGGCCCCAGAGGCCAGCCCACATAACGAAGCAGTGGGCACTGCCAACGCTGAACTTTATCCTCATGTGAAGACACCAAAGAATCACAGGTGTGAAATCCCTGCTCCAATTTGTCACCTAAATTGGACTTGATTTTGGAGGAAAAATGTTGGTAGAGTTAACTGCCTGGAGCACATGGATGGTATTATTTTGTATTGCTTTAGCCAGACCCTACAGTGCCAGAGAGATCTGTGCTGTCACCAGGATCACTGATGTGATTAGGGTTCGGTCATTCATGTGTAGTTATCTCCTACTTATTCTGTCTCGTCAAACAGCGCCTACTTGTACACCAGACTGGGTAACAGACTTTCAGTATTATATTAAAGATTGTTGCTTTTTTCCCCTTTCTTTCTCAGCGGCTCTGTGATCCACCTTGTCCCCTGCAAGGTCGACTCACATTGCTTTTTGGCTTTGTGAGCCTTTAGTTTGTGCTGCTGTTGCTGCTTAAATAGACCAGTTCTCTTGCTAGGTGCCTTGAGTTTAACTCTTTGGAGGAGTGGGTAGGGACTGCTGTTTGCTGTTCCTCAAGGAAACAGCCATGCAAGGACACATTCAGGAGGGACAATTTACAGTCATTCTTCATCCCCCAAAGAAACAACAACAATAAACTCAAGGGTTACAAGAAAAATATTAGACATTCCATCCCTTTTACTCATCTGACTCAATTTTTCCAAATGTTTCAAAAATCATGCTTTGTTTTTGCTCCTTATTCTCTACTGTGGTGTCTATTCAGAAAAGAAACTTCAGATGGAAATGAATGAAATCATTGTTTTTCTGCTTGAGATTACTAGCAGGAAATAATGCTGTGCATATTGTATGAAAGGGGCAGGGTATTGGATGAACTGCACTGGTAGAAAGGGCGTGTGTGTGTGTGTGTGTGTGTGTGTGTGTGTGTTTGATCGAGGTAAGCAGGGGAGTGGTGAGTGAAAAAGAGGAGAGCCTGAAAAATATAGAGGGAGTTTATGAAAGTCTGTTTTAGGGTCCTATGTAGTTCAGTGTTGTGTAGACAGGCGGCATCTGGATCTTGTTACTTTTAAGCTAGCCAAAGCCATCAACTTCTGGGACATTTTTAAAGAAGTTAGATTCATTAGACATCCTGAACTGATACTCAGGTAATCAGACCACAGTGGGGAGTAGAAGGCACACTAGTGTGGCTATCATGGTAGTTCATGTGGATTATCATGTAAAATTTTGACAGAGCTGTGACGTTGCTGAATGTTGTCGAGGTTACTATGAAATGACAGTCATTAATAACATTTTCTGACGGCTGAAGTTGTGAAAATTTGCCCTGTTTTAAAACTTGGGTATGGGGAGGGGGAGAGAGAGAGAGAAGGAGAGAGAGGGTCAACATGTTGAAATGTTGGTGCTCTCTGAAAGAGTTCATACCACTCAACGGAGCCCTGTCATTCCCCAGCCTAACAGGAAAGGAGCTAGGTTATTTCCGTTATTATCACCTTTTGCCCCTTCTACATTTATATCTCCAACTATAATTTGTTATAATCTTAAAGGAAGTACATGCTGCTTATGTTTATTTGGTTAAGGCTGAGTGGAATTCATAAAATCTGCTGTTCCAGCCTTGGCTTGTAGTTTTAATCCAATTTTAAAATCATAGCTATTTAAAATGATGCCAATACATAAAGAATACTTATGGTTGATAAAAATAGAATTCTGTGATTGATCAGAATCATATTCTGATGATATCATACCTAAAGTCTAAATTCCTATGTTTTGTTTCCCTATCCATAAGAATAACTTGTAGACATTACCTTTGGAGGAGACATCTTCTTGGGATTTAAAGAATTGAAATGCTTATTACTGTGTTCATTCAGAGACTGCAAGAACATTGAACTCTTTCCATAAATGTGTGTTATACACTGCTGCCATTTTCTTATGATGAAAATAATTTAAAAATAAATGCTCCCCCTTCCCTTCAGTGCATAGTAAAGTCTTAGAGCAACTTTATTCACTTTCCTGCCTTCTCTGCTCCAATTATTTCCCCTGACATTGGAGACAATCTCTCCACTTTGCTTCTTAAAAAATAGAAATAAGATATTTATGTTGGATTTCTTTGAATATTTTTCCAAAATGTCTAGAATTTTCTATAGGAGAAAAATATACATGGAAGTTAAGTGAGATAAAAACCCTTTGACTGACTTGTAGAGATCATTTCTAGCAATGCTGTTACGGTTTGCTCACTTTTCCACATCTTACATTTTAAACAGATGTTACTAGTTCTCATTTTGAATAATATTCTTCCTCCCCAAAGAAACAATCTCAAGAAGGAGCATTGCTTTTGGCTAGGGAATAATGAAGAGATCTTGGTGACATGTGAAATTTAAATAAGAGATGTGTGTAGATTTTTCTTTAAAAGAAGTTTATCAAAGCATATTTGCTATTTGGAAGGCCATGCAGCACAAACATTGCATTTTAGGCCCAAGAAATAGTTCATTAGCTTAATAATATCAAAATGGTGTTTAATGAGTCATTACCTAACATTTTTTAGGTATTTTTTTTTTTTTTGCAGTCCCTCCACACACACACACACACACACACATACAAAATCCCAACCTGTTGCTGTTGGATTAAGGGATCCAAGGTGAATTTCATTCTGAATTTGAGGTACTGTGGGAGATTTTCTTGAACAAGCAAATTTACAAAGGCTAAACATGATCACAGCCGTGTGAATTGATATTTTGCAGTTCAGGAATTGATATTTCTCTCAAATGTGATATTTGGAAAACCCTAGTTATTTTCATAAAACTTAAAGAAAAATCACACACATCCAGTTTCTCCTTTCTAACAGTTCACCGTGTTTTGACCAATCCAGGCAAGATTTTACTCATGTTGCTCTGACATCAGTGGACCCGTTCCCTTCCTTGGCCCTCCGACTCTCAGAAGGTCTTAGAGAACAGGCTGTAGACCGGGGGATTCTCCCTGAGTTCCTCTGGCTCGTGGTCCTCAGGTGGTGTTCAAGCCTGGAGTGAAGAAGAGATCTGGGCTAAGGAGCCGTCCATCAGCTGCACACTGGTCCCAGACTGAGTTTTCGACCTCCTGCAGCCTGGACGACCACATACTTCCTAAAGTCTAGCTGGAGCCTAGTGGCTTGTGCCTTGCAATGCCTTTGCAAACACAAGAAGTAAGTAGGCAGAGGTGGAGGCACAGAGGATATTCCTAAAGCTGTGAGGTACAGCTCCTTCAAAAGCAAAACAAAACAAGCCCTTCACATACTCCTTACACATGAAAATGTAGAAAGTCTTGCAGAGGGTGGAATGAGTCTAGAATTTCCTTAGTACTTCCTGCCTCAGATTTGCATTGATAGCTGGAGTTGGTAACTTGCCAATTGTTTTAAAACAGCCTTGAACACTCCCAAGTTCTG